TAAACCATCTATAAATAAGCCATTTTTTCCATGGCTATGTTAAATAACCAGAGGGGTAATATGTATGTAAATCATCATTCTCCTCAAACAAAACTACGGGGAATGGCTTGGAATCGCCATTGCAAATGGAAAAACCTGCGCTGCCGTCGCCTATCACGTGCCTTCGACCTTTTCCGGTTCTGCTTCAGAGGGCGCCCGGCCAAGTTGCAAAACCTCCTTGGCCACTGCGCCCGCCTCTTCTCCTGCGACGGCAGCCCATCATCAAACGGGAACGGAACGTTCTTCAAAATGGGGAGCATCCCATAAATGCAAACACATCAGGATACTAATTGGATGATACTAAGCCAATAGATTCAATAGGCTGATATGGGTGTGCCTAAACATTGGGTATATACCCCAATGTTTATAGCAATTTTAACGTGGAAAATGATGATCGGCCGTCAGGATTTTTGGGGCAATATAGGGTTTTTTTCAATATAGTTTCAAGCTTCAATCTGCCGTTCTACCAATCAGTTCCATCGTTGGGCTCAAATCACCCATATAAAACCAGTGAATTCCATTATTACTAGAACTCGACATAGATATGGAACACCCGCCATGAATGTCGTCAATTTTCCGAACGGGAAACTACAATGGATTTCCACACCATCCCATGTCTATGTCAGTTTACCAATTTGTTTTTACTCACCATATTTCAACGACTCACCATTGACCAATGCGATCCCAAGTTCATCTTAGATACGCAAAACTTGCGTGTCTATCAAAAAATTATAGAACAAATATAATTATATCATTATATCTAAAGTACCCATCCAGCAATCCACTCGTTCACTGGAATATCCGAATTGCCCATTATATTGCCATTACATTCCTGTTATACACCCATTGATATTCCCATTGATATCTCCATGATATTCCTATAATGCCCACCCTAATCCCACCAATTTTTGCCCATTTGGTAGTATAGTAGTAAACCATGCGTAAAAATTGTTTTCAGAGGTAAAGCAGAGTCAATCCCATATTTTTCAATCTTTCCATTGATTGCACAAGGTGGGCCCCCAAGTTATGTTTGTTGGTCTGTGAGAAAAGTAATTCAACCAACTTCGCTATTCTTTGGGGGCCCCAACTACAACCAATATATATATATATATATATACATAATCGGCGTGTTCGCTAGTGGTACTTTTTTTCTGCCTTTTTTTCCGAAAACCATGTTTTGGACATCAGCGGCATTTTTTTGGGTTTCGAGGGGTTTTGTTATTTGCCAGTTTAGCTGCTTCAACTTGGCAACGGCGGCATTGCCCAACCAGTTCTGGCACGATTTCTTACAGTCACAGTCCATTTCTCCCGCAACGGCGTTTTTTCCCAGGAACCCCTGAAATGACTGCTTTTTGGAGCAACGACTAAAAAAAGTACACATATTAGTATGATTAGTGACCGACCAAAAGGTAATGACACTTTATTAGTAGTTATTGCTTTTTCTGGTCGCTAGTTCCAATAATGTGGGAAACCCAATGTCATTCACCTAGCGTTTGGGAATGGTTGAAATCGCAGCCGTAAACATTGTCATGACTTGGGGATGTTGCGGATGGCATTCTGTAAATCCCACATGACCCACTTTTGACTTATGAATTCATCCTTTATACTGTGGCTATATGCAACCCGGGTAAACGAAAAAATATTTCACTCACCTGAATTGTTCGGCCATTTGGGGATGATTCCCCACACCATGATTCCAGGGTTCGGTCACGACGGGAGGTTACTTTAATTTACCCTTTTACACTTGCCAGAGAGGCCCCCCCAAACAGGTGGAGGGGGCGGTTCACTATAATTTTCCCAGACACCATAAATTCATTATAGTCAATTATAGTACATTTAAATTATATGTACATTTTTCATATCATTAATTCATTATATATATATATACAGTAAACTAACATACCCTGCCATTCATCGGGGTTGGAAGAGCTTGTTTCCACTAAAAATTGGTGACTTTCAGGGTCCAGCTGAAAAAAAAACAGAGGTTACCCCAACAAACCATTATCAACAATTATTATCATTATTACATATATAACCATTATTAATCATTAGTAACCATCATTAACCATCACAAACCATTATCAACCATTATTAACCACCAATAACCATAATTAATGGTTAATCGGTTAATCAATTAATCAATCTTTAACCATGATCAATCGTTATTACCCTCTGGTAAACAAACATAGCTATTGAAAATGTACCATAAAAATACTGGATTTACCCATTAAAAATGGTGATTTTCCATAGTTATGTTTGTTTACCAGAGGGTCATCAAGAAAATCATGATATCTGTTATTTTATCTGATTATCCTATATATTGTGGAAAAAAAAACTCATTCATAACCACCAACCAGATATATTGGTATTCCAATGATTACCCTCTGGTAAATTAACATAGACCCTGGCAGTCATCGGGGTTGAAAGACTAGTTTCCATTAAAAATGGGCGATCTTCAGGGTCCAACTGTTTATTTACCAGAGGGTAACCATTATTAACCATAGATTAACCATAGATTAACCATAGATTAACCATAGATTAACCATAGATTACTATTTACCAGAGGGTAGCCATTATAAAAACCATAGATTCACCATCACCACCAACCAGTTAATCCCAGTTAATCCCAGGAATCCAAGGCACGCGTGACCCACGAGGCGAACTCCACGTAGTGCAGCTCGCCGTCGCTGTTGGCATCCGCCGCGGCGAAGATGGTCGTCACCTCCGAGGCCTTCCAGAAACGGGCCGGAAAGGGCTGGCTTTTGCCATGGTCTTGCACCGAGAATCTGTTCATTTTCAGTATTTTGAGAGATTTTAGAGTATGGTATTCACTTTTTTATTAGAGTTGATCTAATTGTTGATCTAATTTTGACCCAGACCCAGGGGATACGGATACGGGATATGGACATATATAGAGGTTTCCTGAAATAGGGGCACCCCTGTTCATCATCCATTTGGAGATGGAGTTTTCCATGAAATAAACCATCCAGTGTTTTTGGGGTACCCCCATTTATGGAACCCCCATGTTTTGCCACCAAAGAAACTCAAGAAATGGGTGGTTTCAAGGGAGTTTAGGCCTAGAAATTGGTAGACATAGGCCAAGATCTAAGTATGATGTCAATGCAAAACAGCTAAATAATCCTGAATAAAAAATTGCTGGTGTCCCACTAATTAAATGGTTAAGAACAATAAGAGGAAATAATCATAAGGACACATATCTAACTAGCTATCTGATGACATTTTATGGAGATATCAAGAGAATGTTCATGGGAAGAGCTTGGACTTGGGTCCTAGGTTTGGTGCAGTGAAGCATGCACTTGAAAATCACACTATAGGGTACAAGATTCCTACCCTCGCGCCCCTATTCAGGCATGATCTATGATGACTTTGCACGAGCTGGGTGGCGTGGCTCAATGTGCCGCCAGCAAAGAACTAATTATCAACCTTGGTAAAGTTTGAATGGGATTGTTTGCTCTTGATTTGCGCGAATTGTGCCAAAATCACAAGGCCATGACGATCATCCCCAAGACGCTGGTTGGATAGTATAACTAGTTGGTGGTTGAGCCCACCCCTCTGAAAAATGATGGAGTGAGGAACAGTTGGGATGATGAAATTCCCAATATATGGACAAAATGTTCCAAACCACCGACCAAATGATATGTTTTTCTTGTGTATTTCCCATGATTTTCCAATGATTTTCCCATGATTAACCCTCTCCAATCATCAACCATTCAACCATCAACCAGCGGTTTAGCAGCCACTGCTCTGAAAAATCCTTGGCCGAGTGTCGGTCAGATCCTTGGCGCGACATCAAGGGCTAAGGCTGGCGCATCTGCTACCTACTTCTACTCCTGGAGGTTGAAGTTTACCATCTGGTTATGACTAACAGTTTGCAATGGAAAGATCCACCATTTTTAAGTTCGGTAAACCAGGTAAACCATCTATTTCTATGGGCCATCTATACCATGGCTATGTAACAAATAGCCAGATGGTATACATATATATATATATAAGATTAAAAAATATGGACAAAAGCCTGGCACAAAAATGCTACCCTCTATGGATGCTCATGGATGTTGGGTCCCAAATATGGTGATGGTTCATGGGATGGCTTGCCTTGCGAGTTACCGTAACTGGTAACCGCTGGAAAATTCCCCCGAACTAAATTGATGGTAAATTGATAGTTTAATGGGACAATTATAGGTATTTGCCGTTGCTATGTTTGATTACCTGAAGGTATCTAAATTCATGAGAGGCAAGAGATAGGAAAGCGATTATATGGTACGGTATGGGTTGAACATGTTAAACCATGTAAAAAATCCTAGTGCAATTCTGTTCACACCAACATAGCTGGTATAGTATAGCTGTATGTTCATCCCAGATTGTTGGGAAACTCTAAAATTCATAGCTCCCACTGGCTCCATAAAGAGAGGGAACCTCGGAAAATACCGCTCCGAACCGCACCGAACCCAACCAGTAATCATGACTTTTTGATCCCCACAGCATCAAAAAGATGCCTTTATGTGGTATGTTCATCCATCCCGCAATGGAACATCCCGGTATGTTGGCCATGAAAAAAATCCCGGTTGGTGGTTGACCTACCCCTCCTGAAAAATGATGGACTTCGTCAGTTGGGATGATGAAATTCCCAATATATGGAAAAATATGAGTCAGTTGTTCCAAACCACCAACCAGAATCCCTATCGAAAAAAAAAAAACATGGCCCCGAATTCACGGCTGTCTATCAATCCACCATGACACATACCCGTCGGTAATCATCGAAATCATCAAACTCAATGGATGATTTTCCAGCCATGTTGAACTACGAGGGTAGTTCCTGTTCACATCCCAATTTCCCTTGCTTAACAGAAAAAAAATCCAATTCTCTCAAAAAAAATGGGTAAAACTTTGGAACACTATAGGCATTAATCGTGTACCCAAACAATATTCGGCCACGTCTCTGGCATGATTTTCTTCAGCACCGCCGCCATCTCCTCCTCCAAGATGACGCCGTCCCCGTTCAAGTCCAATCTGTGGCGACTCGAACATGGCAGTGGAAGTCGCCAATGGAATCCTTCAGATCCTTCAATAAATGATATAAGAAAGAGAGAAAGGTGTGTGTGTATATATATATACCCATAGGATCAATGTATGGTATATATGCTAACATTGGGGGTATATTGATGGGATCCATGTTGCCATATATAGCATACATGGATCCTATGGGATATAATGACATAATAATATAAATGTCCTAATTTTGCCACGTGAAAATTGGGAAAACCCACAAAAAAGAGTGGTCGAGAAGGAAACCCAAGTTCAATGAAAATATATTGTTTTGCCATGTTTTGCCCATCTTTTGCCGTGTGAAAATGATCATGTCCATGGATTTCCCCGGATGAAATTACCACAGGCCTCTTGAAGGCCTTGGCGAGGATCACCTGAACTGGCAATCGATGTGTATCTTGTAGATGCATGCGGGTGCACACAAACACAATATTTATTCTTATACATGTTTATAGTTATCTTCGTTTATATGTGTATCTGTACCTATATATATATATCGATTGATTTATCTATCCATCTATCTAACCCATCTATCCATCTATCCATCTATCTATCTATCTAATCTAATCTATAAGTATTCATGTGTGAATACCATTGCAAATGTACAATTTAAGTTTTTCTCGCACATGCATATTTCTCTTTACATCCGTCCATCTATCCCTCCAGCCAGCCATCCAGCCACCCGTCTATCTACCCATCTGCCAACACATGAATTTGAATATCCGACCCATGTGTAGATACACACACACACATACAAATGAATAGTCATATATCTATAGCATCTAGAAAGAGATAGAGACTTGTTAATGTTAATGTTTCGCTCTGGTAATTTGTAGAGAATCACTATTAAGAGGTACATCATCAAAAAAAATCACGTTCGTTTTCCATGACCTGTCGTGAGTCTAGAGGCTAAATTCCCATGACATCACCATTTCTAGTGGTTTGAAACCCATGAAAACATCTCCCTCTCTCTCTCTCTCTCTTTCTCTCCATCATGAAATCCATCATTTTCAGATTTTTTGGGTGTTAAACACGTTTTTTTTTTTACCATGTTAAAGCGCCATGTTTCCTAGTGAACAGTTGTCATGGTTCAAAAGCTAATTTTTCCTACGAAACATCCCCGACGTTCGGAGACTGATCGCCCAGATGCCGCATCGCTGCCAGCTTCGGGCGCATCGCCCACCTCCGCAGGTGGCTCAGGAGGAGCCGTGGCTTCGGGCCTTGGAGGAGCTACTCCGTCTCGAGACTCTGTGGCGTTCTAGAATCGCCATGAAAAAAATGGCTTGCATCATATTGATCCCTTCCCCTATTACTAAACGGTCCCCCCAAAATCCCCCAAATAATAAACACCTGGAGGAGTTTTTAGTATTAGGTGGTATTTAGTATTAGGGCGCAAAGCTTCCCCTTAATACTAATTTAAAACACCCCCTCCCTAATATAAAAACTATCTTTGTTATTTCAAAATCGATTAGATTTCCTTTTAAAAGCTAATTAAAATATTGCAAAAAAATGGATTTCGAAGCTTTCCCCTAATACATCTAATACTAAATAAAACAAATAAAACAACTCTAACATTAAAAAGAAACTATTTCAAAACCGATTAGATTTCCATTAAAATATTGCAAACAATTGGATTTCGAAGCTTTCCCCTAAAAACCTTAATAAAATACTTTTTTTTTCGACCTTAGAAGACGGACCCTGATTAAAAAAACGCCCCGGGGTTGACTAGTTTTCATTCTTAGGGGGTGAAACCCTGAAATGGGACCTTCATGTTCAATTTGTTTTCGAAAGGGGATCAATTAAACATCAAATTGGCCAGTCTGAAATTTCCCAAAATTTAACGCGGACCCTAGTTTCAGTATTTGGGGTACGTTTAGTTAAAGGAGGTGGGGATTACACTAAAAAAATGTTGGACTTTTACAGCAAACATCTTTGAAATCCAAACTGTCACCGACTATCATCCCATTCAATCTCCACAAAGACGAAAAACAACCTCTCCTGTAAACCAAAATAATTAGATGTGAACAAAACCCACCATTTATGTTATACACAGGGTTTTCCACATTTTGTGGTATGTTTACCCCGGGGTATATCTCATCTTATCGCATGAAATATGCCCCAGTGGAGGATCATGCACCTCAGTAAGTGCTTAATAAACTGGTTCGTAAGTCCCCATTCAGTGGGGTTACCCTCTGGTAATTTAACATAGCTATTGAAATTGACCATTTATTATAGTGGATTTACCCATTGAAAATGGTGATTTTCCATAGTTATGTTAGTTTACCAGAGGGTATCCACCTATAAATGGCGAACTCTGGTCACTGAGTTGCACCAACTACCAGCTGCCATGGCACTTGGGCGCCGTCGCCTTCAGCTTCTTCCGGCCCTTCTCCAGGTCCCCATAGGCACCACGTGGAACGGAGCTGAAGTGCACCAGCATCACGTCCAATGGCGACTCGGCATGGATCCTGGACCCCCATTGATAGCCCCCCACTAATAGCTTGGTTTCTAAAGTGTTTATAAACATTTATAACCCGCATTCACCTCCATTAAGTATAATTAACATTAATTAACGAACTGGGTCACCACCTTCTAGGGAAGATTATTGCCTGCCTGGCCTTTTGGATATGATGCGTCAGCTGTTCCTGATGGAACGGCTGCACTTGGTTTTGGGATGTTTCTCCGCCTTTACCCGTTGACATCTTTACCCCTTTGCAACGCTGGGTTGCATATGTATATTGTACCCTTGAGGGGTCTGGAGAGGAAATTACATGGCAAAAAGGTATATTGTATGTATGGGGTTGCTATTGGATGTCGCTGGGATGTTACGCATTCTTAGCCACCATCATCTCTTGCCCGAAGCATGTGGAACCCTGATTGGGAGGTTTTACTGCCGCTGCCTATTCCGAATCATGGATGCATCCATAGCATGACTGAGAGTGGTTAAAGGTGGAGAAGCAGAAGAACTGAAGAACGTGTGTGTATATATATATATATGTGTATACATATATGTATATATATATATATATATGTGTGTGTATATATATATATATGTATATATATATATACATATGTAGACATATATATATATATATATCTGGTTGGTGGTTTCAACCCCTCTGAAAAATACGAAAGTCAGTTGGGATGATTATTCCCAATATATGGAAAAAATGTTCCAAACCATGAAACCAGATATATATATATATATATACGTATATATAATACTACACATATTGATGCTCACCACAAGACACCCTCTGAACACTGAGTTGAATGGGGACTCCCCCCCTCCCTCCCTCGCTCGCTCTCTCTCTCTCTCTAAGCCACATTGTGCACACTCTGACAAGACTTTAGATGGATTTATCTTTCACAGTTAGGGAAAATGGATGGACATCTTGCATCACTATAATTTGAGGGGCCTATCCAGGTCCACATCCACATCCCGACTTATTGACCAGGTCAGTGGATTGCTTTGCGGGCAATATTTTACAGGAAAACCAGGGTTAAGCCCGATATTTCAGGCTAAAAACCATGGTTCCCTACAGGAAAAAAAATGGGTTGCAGTTTCCTATAGCCTATAGATTTGATTTTCCCATCCACCAATCGCCCCCTCCTCAATGCCCGCTCAATGGCGTCCACGATCCATGCAGTGCGGTTTCCAAAGGCGCCGCCACCCACTGCACTGAGGTACACCTCTGCGAAACGCTGGAGGAGAAAAAATATAGAAAGAACCTTCAAAAAAACAATGTACATATTCATGATTCATGATCCATGGTTGAAGAAAGTGATTTTGATCTACAAAATGGCGGATTTTTTCCATAGCTATGTTGGTGTAAGAGGAGGGTATCGGCTTGGATCTAGCCTAGATGAAGCTTGTGGGTTGGCCATTCAATTTTTATGAGCTAGATTTTTTTCCGACATATTTGGTGAAACCTGTGGCAGGGAAGGTACGAAAGCTGACAACGATTAGCTGGTTAGCATCATTCATGATGCTTAAAAATTCCCAGATACTTGAGGCCCAAGGGGGGGGTGAACGAAAGCTAAGGTTCATATGAGCCTGGAAACATGATGGGATTTTGATGGAAGTTGGATATGCTGAATACAGATTGCCTAGAGACCTGGCAGGATTTGAGCCCGTGAAGACCGCCCCAAAAATGCCCCGGGAGCTTGGGGGGAGGGGGGGGAAAAATAACTGTATTGGACTCAGACCTGCCCCTCCCCTTGCTAAAGCGAGAGTAACTCCAGCTAGCTACCGCTAGCTTTCGTGACAAGGGGCAAATAAGCGGGCACAATACGGTACAACACCACATGTTCCATCATTTTCCTCCTTGTGGCTATCATTTACCCATTGTTGTGGGAGAATGGGTTAGTCTGAAAATCGGCTAATTACTCCATTCCATCCACTGGTTAATCATTATTCATCCACGGGTTAATCGTCCCGAAAAAAAACAATCATAAAACGGCCGCATTTTTCAGACACACCCAGCTTCGTATCCCATCGCCCGGCACCTTGGTACGGCACTGCCGCTGAATGCTCAACACCGCTGCAATCGCCAAAGTGGCTTCGAAGGTGCCTTGCAGCACCAAGCGACCAAAGGCTTCCTGGGGCCAAGGATGGCCAGGGATTGAAAAAATGGGGCTGTAGAAACAATTATATATGAGCATGGCGCTCTACCACGTTTTCTTTAGAGCTATTTTGTCCAAGTTTGGGTAATTATTGTCCCCAAGTTTAAGTAATTATTGTCCCCAAGTTTGGGTAATTGTTGTCCCTAAGTTTGGCCTAAGTTTGGGTAATTATTGTCCCCAAGTTTGGGTAATTAGTGTCCCCAAGTTTGGGTAATTATTGTCCCCAAGTTTGGGTAATTATTGTCCCTAAGTGTGGCCTAAGTTTGGTAATTATTGTCCCCAAGTTTGGGTAATTAGTGTCCCTAAGTTTGGGTAATTATTGTCCCTAAGTTTGGCCTAAGTTTGGTAATTTTTGTCCCTAACTTTTGGTGAATTTTTGTCCCTAACTTTTGGGGATTTTTTGTCCCTCTTCTTTCTGGGGAATTTTTGTCCCTAACTTTTGGTGAATTTTTGACAAAAACAGTGCCTAAAGAGATAGCCCAAAAACATGGTGGAGAGACATGCGAAAATATATAGTAATGAACTTATAATAGGGCTAATGATTTAAGGGGATCAATATCATCATGGGATACAATACCAACCATTAAAATTGGAATTGCTATATTGAGGATATAGAACCAATCATTTTATGGGACGAATGTCCTGGGCCAAAAAAAAAAGGATACTGTTAAACTAATGGGATGTTTTACCGGTAAGTGGGCTGCTATGGAAAATCACAATTTTCAATCAATCAAACTAAACGGACCGTGGCTTTCATATCATAGCTATTTTTAACTGGATGATACCCTCCAGTAAATTAACATAGACCCTGCCAGATAGGGGTTGGAAGATTAGTTTCCATTAAAAGTTGGGGATTTTCAGGGTCTATGTTTATTTACCAGAGGGTAATAGATGTGAAACCATCGTTTAGCACTTAAGTGTGCTAAACGCACATCTCTCTCTGGTTTCATGGCGCAGCATGGGCGCCACAACGGAAAGTCGACCAACCTGCTAACCGGTGGCCGGGGTGGCCTCCAGTAACTTGACGTAGCTGTGGAAGCCATGGCCCATGTATAGATGATTTACCTATAGAAATAAGCAAATTTTCCATAGCATACTGTTAGTTTACTTTAAAAACGGAGATTTACAATAGCTGTGGTGATATTGATAGATGATTTACCCATTGAACACACGGACAAAAAAGGGAGAGAACTGCAATAGCTGTGCTAGTTTGCCCAGAGGGTAAACCATGGTAAGCTACAAGACCACAGGAACCCTGTCACAGACCAGCGTCCCAATCTTGCGAACGAGTGCTTTTGGCATACGCAACCGGCAGTGCAGAGCAAAACCTCAGGTTTCAATAGGTAAATCATCATCATGGTCCATGTCCATTTTCCATAGCTAAGTTCAATTCCCGGAGGGTATTATCACCATTGCTGGTTGGTGGTACACCTACCCCTCTGAAAAATACAAAAGTCAGTTGGGATGATGAAATTCCCAATATATGGAAAATAAACATGTTCCAAACCACCAACCAGATTGCCATATTTTGTGTCGCAGGTTTGGACTAAGATAGATGACCTTTTTCAAAATCGCTGCCAACTGCTGGAATCGTCGAGACATCTTCACAGAACGTGGTCCTTTTGGGTTGATACCTCTGCATCGGAAAAAAGGCCATGCTTATCCGCAAGCTTTACCAATCCCAGTAGGTCACGTGAGCTTTATATATATATATCAATAATAATGTCCTCCACATATATATATATATAGCTTCATCAGTTTGCAAATTGGCCAGTGCCGATGCGATCTTACAGAACATCTCTGGAATAAAATGGGAAAGCTTGAATGGCCAATACAAGTTGAACAGGGCACAGGTATCAGATCCTTGGAGTCTTTCATCCCCCGTTCAGCCCCATGGTTAAACTGGTCCCAAAGAAATGTCGAAATTTCATACCATTCTAGCATGGTTTCTTGGGGGTGTTTAATATGTCTTCATACTAAAAAATGACTAATAATGCAAATATGTTCTTGGGGCTGCTTAAAATTACTGATGAATGGCTTTCCCGGGAGTGTTTAACAATTTCTCCTAAATTTTCCATGACATTTTTAATATCTAATAAATTCTAATCATACTACCCTCTGGTAATTTAATATAGCTATTGAAAATGGCCATAGAAGTAGTGAGTTTTCCCATTAAAAATTATGGATTTTATATAGTTTTTTGTATGTTTACCAGATGGTAAGTATTGGGGAATTCCATATGGCAAAAAGCCCTCATAGTTCACAGCGCCCTTCGCCAAACCTTGAGGGCCCGACACTTGGCACACTCGATGATCCTTGTTGGCCACCTCCTAAGTCATTTGTGGGCGCATGGAAAAGCGGCAATATTTTTGTATGAGTCAAAAACCCATGCCATAGCTGGGATTTATGGATGTTCATCCCGTTCATCCCCCCAAAATGCTATACTAATAGGTTTTCATACATCCCCATATGATATATTGTGATATCGCTACATATTGCAGGTTATCCTTGGAGTGCCCCGCCCAAATCAACGTCAGAGGATCTGTGTCCCAGTGAACGCCGATGCGCAAACGATCCCGGAGGGCCTCGGAGAGCTTCTCATCCTGGCCGTTTTTGGGCTGGGAAGGCGGAGACACCTGGCTTTAGCCGAATGTTCCATATATATATATGCATATATGCAAATTTATGCATGTGCACCCGCCAGTCTATAAATATGTATGATATAGTTCTATATGTGTATATATGTTATATGTGATCGTGTATATATATATATATATATATATATGCTACCCCCCCCCTGATACCCACCTTGAGCGGCCTGCATGCGTGCAGAGCGAGCATTGACATGAATATGTTGAAGACATTTGCCAGCAGATGATGGATCAGGAAGGACATGAGAATCAGATTATTGAAGCAGATGATTGAAGCAAATAGGCGTGAAATTTACATAGGAAGCCCACAGATATGCGATGGCAGCAAAGTCAAGAAGGTTAGAACACAGCAGAAGGTGCTAGCAGCGACGCGCTGATTCTTTTGAACTCTGCCCCGCTGTGGTGGCTGGGCTCTCTAGGCCTTCAACAAGAACCACTGAACAAGAGAACCCGTTGCCAACCACAGATCGTGCCCCCTATGCCAGTACTCATACTGAGCAGAGCGCAAACGGATGCGCAGAAGACTGCTGCCAACTTTGCAGTTCTGGTTGATGTTCAACCGGTCTTTGAGGAAACGCCAGCATCTGTCAATGATCTGGGTGCCCTTTTTGACTGTGATTGCCTTCTTGCTGCCGGGGAGGACATGCTTGTGCAACTCCACATACTTTGGAGTGAGCCATTTCCATTCTCCATTGACTTTCACCCGCTTCTTTTTGTGGATGACCCGGTCATGGAGGACACCCTTGACTTTGATGGCATAACTTTTTGCCGAGTCGGTGTGGAGAATAATGTCACGGTGTTGAAGCCATTTCACAGCCAATGGTTGCCATTCAACTTTTCGAATAGCACCGGGGCCTGGAGCGCGAAGTTTGGAGATGACTGGCTTCAAGCGATGGAGGACAAGCGTCTGAGGTTTACCTCTTTGGACAATGCCGCACCACTGCTCCCAGTGCAGCTGTCCATTCACGACCTTCTTGTCAAACGTGGCTTCATCGGCTTCCACGTCCTGCCATTTTCCACCTTGCCCAAATTTGATGTCCTTCTCCTTGTTCCTGACCCACCTTTCACGTAGCTGGCCTAATCTCTTCTCCATATCCTCAATGCTCTTATGGTTCACATGCAGGAGGCGATGGATGGTGGGGTGGGAAACACGGTTGAGCAGGAGCATCAGTAAACATGCCTGGGTGGCAAGCGGTGTAGAAGAAGAGCCCCAATGATCCACAAAAATGGGGTGAGCATGATGCGGGTTGATGTAGGTGTGGCATTTCTTGGCACTGCATCTATGCTTTAGTAAACCTCCAAGTTGTTGAAGGCCACCAAGGGTGCCACGGCAGCATCGCGGACAGACATGCCCTTCCCATTTATGAAGAAGTCCATCTTCACGAAGCATCTTCACCAAAGTAGATGGAGAGCTTTGCAAAATTTGTGCCAAGGAGCGCTTCCATTTGCAGCGGTCCATGCGAACTTCAGGAACTGCATCAGGGGATCGCACATACTTCACTTGCTTCCATGCCTTGGTCTTCATGCTCGCAGGCCGTTTCAATACAGCACGTAGCTTACCTTTCTTGGGCACGGGAAAGTTGTTGAACTTGGACATGGCAAGGCGCAATTTCGGAGCTAGGCGGAAACCAAACAGCTATAACGAGTGACAAAATTGAATCAGACACTGAATTTGAATGAGCAATTAGGTTTGGTATGGTGCTGGTGGACTTGGAGTGGAATGATTTGCAAGCGCTTGCAAGCATGAGGGTAGACAAACTCAGTTCCGTTGACAAAAGAAGCTGTGGGACAAACTTTTTTCCCCAGATATGATCAATGCGATAGCTGTCTATCCGGAACGACAGCATGTACGCAAGCTATTGCACGTGAAGTACACGCACAATAAATTGGTGAAGCTACAGTAGCTACTCCTAAGCATCAAGAGTGCCTAGCGCATGAGCTGCCTCTTCATCTGCAGCGGTGTGTAGCAGAGCAGCTTCAAAGTCCATCTCATCATTGGTGCCATCCTCCAAGACAGCAGTCTGTGCCTCGGCAGCCTGAGCCAACTCTTCCAGCTCTTGAGACACAGGTGTTGCTTTCCTCCGCACACGGCGGCCAGGATAGACAAATGGACCAACACGACGACCAGAACAATGAGTTCCAATGGGTGGCACAGGACGAGCAGCCAAAGGCACCTGGTCGTCGTCATCCGACGATGGAGAGCCTGGAAGAATGCGGATGTCCTGAGATCGGAACAGTGCATCTTGAATCTTGCCGTTGACGAACTCAATGTAACCCTGGACTTCCTCATACTCTGCCATTGTGTTCATTGCCTGCTCCAGCATCCTTTGCCCTCGACCTACATCAGTATCAAAAGAGGGGCCAGTTTCCATGGAGCCTGCCTTGTACTTGCCATAGAAGGGCTTGTCTTTGTCAGCCAGCAAGTCTTTGTGCAAGTCGTCTACACAGATGCGGTGGATGATGGCCTCCTTATTCTCACTGGGCAAGCGCAAGTATAGAGCCATACCGGTGAAGACGAAGATGATGGAACGTTTCAGAACAGCCAGAACATCTTTTTCCTTCTCCCCGGCAAACAAGTCATCCAGCATGACCAGAAAGCGTCCTGGAGGGAGAGTAGTTCCAATCTTTTGCTCTTCCTCCAAGTCATCTTTCAGATCATTGGAGGCATAGGCCCGCAACTGATTCCTGATGAGGCGGGTATCATTGTAGCGGGACTCAACAGTTCCATCCTCATCCACAGTCAGGAAACTCTTCAAGTCAGCCATGCTCACTTTGGCGCGGCAAGGGTCATCAAGGAACAAGGCTTCTTGAACGCGAGGAGCGCGGTGACGAAAGTTGTCCAAAGACTTGGCCCTACGCCACCCAGGTTTCAAGTTTGTATCACCACTCAGGCGTACATGATACCTTCCCAGGGCCATTGCCAAGATCACAACAAAGGGAGTCTTGCCAACTCCTGGACACCCCAGCAACAACACGCCAAAGTTGAGCATCAAGGGGTAGAGGAGAGGCAAGAGGGCTGAGTGTAAGAAGGGCTTGAGGCTGTAGGTAGTCAAAGGGAACTCTGTCATGCTCACGGCTCCCGCTTGTCCTCGACTTTTGTTCTGGCACATGAGCCGAACCTTTGGCTCGGGCCAGCTGGCAATTGGCGTGCCGGAGTCGGACTTGATGTTTATGAGGATCCACAGGGTCTGCTCATTTTGTGCGTCACACTCTGGTGCATGCGCATTGATGAACAGAACGCCTTCCTCAAGTTCAGCATTTGATGGGGACCATGAAGGTTTTGGTGGAGCACTGTCTGCAGTCTTCTCTTCTAAGACATGCCAGCGGAGCTGATAACCACCAAGTTGACCTAGAAGCCATTGGGTGGCTTTCTTCACTTTCCATGGGCCTGCTCGATGGACAGGTAAGTGCATTTTGCCACTGCAGAAAGAACTGGCTAGTTGGGAAGAGATCGGACGGGACGTGTAGATCACCTTCAGGACGTCAACCTTACCATCGTCCTTGCTGACATGGATGAAATCAACCTTGGATCCTTCAGGAAGAGGGGCTTTGAATTTGATGGCTGCTGGAAGGCCTTCCACATCTGACTCGGAGAGCTTATTGGAAGTTTCAGCAGGGTCTCCACAGGCTTCCATGGACAAATGGACATCAAAGACGAGCCTAAAGGGCTGGACCTTGACACATTCCCGGCAAGCCTCCGCAATGAACTTGTCCATGGCCAAGGGTGTCTCACAATCAATGGGACTGTGGTCTGGCTTCTCTAAGAGACGTAGAAGCATCTGTTTGCCAGCCAGGTCTGCAATGGCCGTGTCCATCAAAGCGCCGGACATTTTGGTCAAATTTGAGAGCAACGATTGCGGGACAGGGCTAGAAGGCCAGGCTGAGCCAAATGTCACACAAGAAAGCAGATGTGAGGCAAGCAGAAGGAACCAATGTGCAGCAGACAAGCGCAATGTTTTGTTTTTGTTGTTTACGTTGCGGTTTTGGATATACAGCTAGGTTGGAGCTATGCACTATCTTACTTTCCCTGTATACCCTTCCTTTAAAGACAGCATACCTGCATCATGTCACCCTAACCCCAACTAACAATACTATTGTCACGCTGCAATAAGATTCCTTTTGTTCACCGCACAGCCGCTATCTAGAGTCCAATGCGAATCTTCAAGGCAGCGATCTCGCCCTTCAGCTTCGCATTCTCCTTGGCCAACTTGTCTCGCTCGGCTTTCACACGCATAATCTCTTCCTCGATTTCCTGGTGGCAGGCAATGGCATCGGAGAACTCCAAATTTTCGGCTTGAAGGCGGGTGATCTGTGCAAGAAGCTTTTCGGTGGTGGTTCCAGAAGACTTGGCAGATACATTGGATGACTTTGATGCCTTAGATGCTCTGGAGGGTGCCTTGGATGACTTCGATGCCTTAGATGCTCTGGAGGATGCCTTGGATGACTTCGATGCTGTAGAGGACGCCGCGGACGCCTTCGAAGAAGATGACGAGGACGATGATGATGAGGAAGATGACGACGAAGAACGCTTGCGCTTGGGCTGAGGAGGAAGATGCTTCATGTCCTCGAGTGCCAGCTGAGGAGGTGATGAGGGATGTGCTTGGGCTGCCTTCTTTGGTTTGGCGAGGTTGGTCTGCAGCCTGCGTGTGGCATCTTGGGTCCATACTCCACTGATGCCGGTGGGGATGCCCAACTGTTTCTGGACACAAACCATTGCTGAAGCCAAGACCTTTTTGTTCATAGGGAGTCGTGACGAGTGAACATCCCAGAGCTGAACATCCTCAACGGTCGGGCGAGGAGCCTGAACGTAGACCACCTCCACGCTTGCAGGTTTCAAGCGCAATGTGGCTGAGCCATTGCTCAAAGAGACGCTGCCCTCGATTGGAAATTGCATGTTTGTGACCTTTTTCTAGTCAGAGACTTTTTTCGGATGAGATAGGCGGCTGCAGAGATGAACAGTGATGTGCTGAACTGAAAGTGTCTGATTAGAGTAACTGTTTCTCAGACCAGGTTTGACACCACCAAATCCCAGGCGCCTCTGCGGTGGTTTGTAGATGGCTTTGGAGCAGTTTGCCTGAGCAACTTGTTTGTGTGAGTTTTTTGACAGATAAGTTTGCACCTTGAGGTACTGACCAGGTTTGACACCACCAAATCCCAGGCGCCTCTGCGGTGGTTTGTAGATGGCTTTGGAGCAGTTTGCCTGAGCAACTTGTTTGTGTGAGTTTTTTGACAGATAAGTTTGCACCTTGAGGTACTTAGGCAAATTGCACGCAGACAAAAATTGCAATTTTTTGCAATTTCCAGACCCCCAAAGATTCAAAGATTCAAAGATTCAAAGGTTGAAAAGAAGTTCTTTGAATCGAAGCCCCCAAAATTCAAAGATTCAAAGATTCAAAGGTTGAAAAGAAGTTCTTTGAATCGAAGCCCCAAAATTCAAAGATTCAAAGATTCAAAGATTCAAAGGTTGAAAAGAAGTTCTTTGAATCGAAGCCCCCAAAGATTCAAAGATTCAAAGATTCAAAGGTTGAAAAGAAGTTCTTTGAATCGAAGCCCCAAAACCCAAATTCAAAGATTCAAAGATTCAAAGGTTGAAAAGAAGTTCTTTGAATCGAAGCCCCAAAATTCAAAGATTCAAAGATTCAAAGGTTGAAAAGAAGTTCTTTGAATCTTTCACTTGGGGTTTGGGGCTTCGATTCAAAGAACTTCTTTTCAACCTTTGAATCTTTGAATCTTTGAATTTTGGGGGCTTCGATTCAAAGAACTTTTTTTCAACCTTTAAATCTTTGAATCTTTGAATCTTTGAATTTTGGGTCTGAGGCTTCGATTCAAAGAACTTGTTTTCAACCTTTGAATCTTTGAATCTTTGAATCTTTGAATTTTGGGGGCTTCGATTCAAAGAACTTCTTTTCTTTGAATCTTTGAATCTTTGAATCTTTGAATCTGGGGTCTGGGGCTTGGATTCAAAGAACTTCTTTTCAACCTTTGAATCTTTGAATCTTTGAATTTTGGGGGCTTCGATTCAAAGAACTTCTTTTCAACCTTTGAATCTTTGAATCTTTGAATCTTTGAATTTGGGGTCTGGAAATTGCAAAAATTGCAATTTTTCTCTGTGTGCAATTTGCCTAAGTACCCAAATTATTTAACCACATAGTACCAAGTGACGTGCAAGTGTATATATATATATATGTATACATATATATATATATACATACATTTATTTATATATATATATACATACATTTTTTACATACATATACAGTAGATCATTAAAAACCTACTTCTTGAATCAATGTGAGGTGGGTATCAGGGGGGGGGTACCATATATATATATATATATTATAGTTGTATATATATATATATATCTATCTATATTATTATTATTGTTATTATTATTATTCTTACTATTATTGTATACGATTGCAGAAGTTCCATATCTTCAGGAGTCATTCATCACTATCATCACTTTTGGGGATACGAACCTATTTCACCAGTAGGGATTTATACGATGTCATCATACACATATAGGTGGTTTGGCAGAATTTGTGATTATAACATATTATAACATTATAACGGGCCATCAAAGTGAGTCCCCAATATGCTACATCACATGATCATCGCATCCGGATTAGCTTGGCTTAAAGATTGGCGATTTTGACATGATTTCGAGGCAACAAAAACATCACTTTCAACGATAGAATCCATCTGCCACAAATCCATAAGAATTCACATTTCGACTCTCCGGTATTCAAACATGGCTGGAAACCCCCGTTAATTTTGCCAGCTATGAACCTCCATGGCTAGTTCAGGGATTTTCCTGTGCAAAGCTCCAATTTGTAGGGGTGTTTCCTAGATTGTTTATATTATATACATATCTCTATATATATATATATATGCGTATGTGATTTCCGAATTCTATAGGGGGTTTCCTAGCAATCACCATGTTTGATGCCACTCCACTTCGCTGCCAATTCGGCTCCTCCTTGAGCCTTTGTGCCAAGCGCCCCATGGATTTGTTGTCCGTGGGGAGGCAGTATCCATTGACCATGCGCCAATACTTCCTGACGCACCATGGCGCACCATGCGCTGCAAGATCTCTATGGGGTTGAGGTCATTTTATGCCTGGTTGGTAAACATGTGGTTGAAATATGTTAATAGAATCAATTCAAATCCGTTCCGTGTTCGATTTTTCTTCGGGCATTTCAGTTCTGGTGATTTTTTATTTGCGGACCGAATTGGAACATTATCCGGCACTATCCCATAGTTGACATCACGCAACTTCACTAGCTCAAATGAAACGGCTCAGAAATCAAACAAATGGATTCCAAAGCCTTTTTGTTGAGGTTCCTAGCTTTCATGGCTGTGCTGCTCCTGGTGGTTGAACAAGCTGAAACAAAGCTGTGGTTCTTGGGAAGCGACTGGTAGGACTAAGGCGACTAAGGTTCTCTTTAGCATTGCCCACCAGCTCTGCGATGTCTGCCAGCCCATCCAACTGTCGTCCTGTTGGATCTCAGAATCGTCATGTTTTTCCAATTGAAATATGCAAAGGCTGCTATCTTTCTATGGCATTTCTTTGGGGTGTAGTGAGGCAGACTTGTCTTTCGCTGGAATCGGTTGGCCACTCGATTCAAACAGTAACAGTTGCAGGTCCTTTACAGTCCCACGACAAAGTCACTTCCACCCCAAGACATCTTGAAAAATATGAGTTCGTCAATGGGAAGGATGACATCCCATATATGAAATGGAAAATAACCCATTCATGTTCCAAACCACCAACCAGTTATATGTATATATATATATATGGAAAATCACCATTTTGTAGCTGGGTAAATCAATGTAAATCAGCTATTTCTATGGCCGTTTTCAATAGCTACCCTCTGGTTATTTGTTACATAGCCATGGAAGCCATGGCCCTAATCGAAATAGATGGTTTACCGTTCTTAATAGCATGGTGGATCTTTCCATTGGAAAGAATCAAACGTTGGTTGATGCTGGTGGTCCCTCGTCTTGTTGGCGCAGCGTTGACGACAGGAGGAGGCAACCTATCCCCAAAAAAAAACGATGTATGACACAGCCAACTGGGCCTGAAAAATCCTAAATTTATCCGAATACATGCCTAAACAGGAAAATAAATAGAAACCATAACTATTTGGACCCAGCAACCAATCATAATTGATTGATCAATGAGAATCAATGGTAATAGTTATGGTTTCTATTTCGCATTATAATTATCATAACTGATTGCAGCCCAAGTTCAGCTTAGTTGCCCATCTTTTCTAGGATTCATCCGGGAATCTCGGTTCATTCAACGTAGCGATGGAACATCACCATTTTTAAGAACTGTAAATCATCATAAATCATCGAACTATGGGCAATCTAAATCATCTAAATCATAGCAAATTGTTCCGGGAGGTATATGCCATTAAGTGGATTATAATCCCATTCAATCCCATTTAAATGACATTCAATCCCAGTAAATCCCATTCAATCCCTATAAATTATACCCCATAGGATCCATGGTGCTGGTATATATGCTAACATGACTGGGGTATATTGATGGGATTCATGTTACCATAGCAGCACCATGGATCCTATGGGTACTCTAATTTTCCCACCATTTCCCATAAACCCCTCCATTTTTCCGGGAGTTGCCCCACATCCACATCCGGTGGCGCCATGGCGGTGGCCATGCCCGGCCTTTCGCTTGGCCGCTGCCGTTCACGAAGTAGTTCCGGTAGACCGTGGCCGCTGGACAGCTGATGGCACAGGCCTCGTCCAGCTGGCTCTTGAAAAGTGATAGCAAGAAATGATAACCACATACAAAGTGGGGCCCCCTAGTTATAAGTTGGTTTATAACCCAATCTAACTATAGTTATAACTACCATAAACCCTAGTTATTGTAGTTATAAACCAACTTAGTTATCTTGGGGGCCCCACTTTGTATCATATTAATGATAATATATAATGAATATAATTTTATCATATTGAGAAAAATATTAGCAATTAAATACTGATAATGATAAAATCATCATAATGATAATAAAAATCATCAAAATGATAATAATAATAATCATCATCATAATCATAATACTGATAGTATATCATGTGTTATGCATAAATCCAGATACCTAATACATAATGCATAATATATAATATATAACAATTATATATATAGAGCAACGATGATGACCATGAAAAATGATGGATAATTATTATAATAATAGTTCTATTGCCATAATCAAAAAATAATGATAACACATGATCATAATCATGGATGGTGGATACTCAATGATCGTAATAATGGATAATGATCTTTATCATCAATAGTCATAATGATGGAACATCCTGACAATCATGTATGGTAATAATCATAACCATCATTATCTCACTTAAGATTTACCATCAGGTCACAATAATAGTAGTAATATGTGAGATTTTGACAATGAAACTGCAATTACATATAGTCATCATGATAATAATAATCATAAGACTTAACAATCAACAGCAGTTCCCTTGAAAAAGGGAAGCGTCCTGCATGCCACTTTCTGATTTCGGATGGAACAAATGTTTCAAACACAAAAATACCAACTATTGCAACTATGCTCCAGTAACATAATAAATGGCTATTGAAATTCATGGATTTCCTTCTCGGAAATGATCTAAACACATGTTTCTGGGTGGATTTTATATCTTAGTCTACTTGGTGGCCTTCTGGGACAAAATAAAGTTCTGACCTTAATATGTTCTGCCTTGGGAGGATTCCCCGCAATCCTTAAGAACACACATATATATATAAGTTAGGATTGATTATACGTATGTATATGCAAATATATAAAAATATATGTACATATATGTACATATGTATATATGTACACACATATATATATATAATTACACACACACATATATATATATGAACAAAATCACCAATTTTACCATATTTTACCTATAGATTTTGAATGTTGCACAAATCCCCAGCATTTTTCACTCCAAAGCACTGGGCCCTGCGTGGCATCGCTGTAGTAGCGCGTCACGCCGTCCTCGGGACGCGCCCCCGGCTCGTTCCTCGGCGGCCAATGGTTTTTACTGATCATCTAACGGGATTTTCATGGGTTTTTAATGGGATTTTCATGGGTTTTTAATGTTGGCACCTGATTAGTAGCATGGTACTCTATTGTGGGAAAAAGTTTCCTCCTTATTCAGTAACCTGCTGTTTGGTGGGGGGGGCCTGTATTGTGGCAAATGTTTTTCCAGATTTTTTTTTGTTTAAAAAAAATGTTCCTAATTAGTTAATTATTTTTTGAATTTATTTTTAAATTAGTTAATTAAATACTTAAAAAATGTTTTTATGTTTTTCATTTTTTTTGGGAGGGGACTGTTGTGGCCGCCTCTTTTTTAACTATTGTTGTCAAGTTTTTAATTAACCATGAACTATTTCACTGGGAAACCTACACATTTTGAAGAGTTGGTTATGGAGCCCGGCGGAGCGCAAGACAGATTTTTTTTCATGCCAAGAGCAATGCGCGATGGAAGACGAAGTCAGCATACACAACGGAGCATTCAAGTGCAGCTTCATTTCAAGGCCTGTGCTAGTGAATCTTGGATTTGCAACAGGGCATCTGCACAATCTGGGCAACTGTCACTAACAATGTCATGGATCTCCTGGAGAGCAGACACTGAGCGCTGAATCGTTGCACGAAGTCTGGTAGCCGATGACGAAGAGGAAGATGTTGACGACGCATCGCTTGAATCAGCGCCATTGGAACTATGGTGATCCTCCGCAGCTTCAACCTCACCGGTAGGAGACTCAACAGCAGGCTTGGCATCGTCCAAGACATCAGCTTCAACCTCACCGGTAGGAGACTCAACAGCAGGCTTGTCATCGTCCAAGACATTGGCACCATGGTTGTCCACATAGGAATCCTCACAAATGATGGCTGTAGGGTTGTCATCGTCCAAGGCATTGGTAGCATGGTTCTCCACAGAAGAATTCTCAGGCTTGACATTTTCCAAGGCAAGGGGTGTAGAAGAAGAAGGATCTTCCAAGGCAAGGCGCCCGGAAGAAGAAGCATCTTCCAAGGCACTAGGACTAGGCGAAGGTGTGTCGGTGCGATTCTTCTTCCTTTCTGCACGCAAGAACCATGACTTGAGCCTTTCATCTGCTTCATTGCTCCACTGTCCTTCTGCCCCAATCAACAGCCGCAATCCACGCTGAATGTTACAAATCTGCATTTGGATGCGGCGAACAGTGATTTGGGCTTTGGAAGGATGAACCAACAACTTTCCGTCAGCAATCTCTTGGACTAAAGCATCTGGATGCGGAGGAGTGGTAGAAGGTTGTGGGGCAACACCTGGTTCAAGCTCCAAGACAATCTTGCGCCCATCTTTGAGAATTGCTTTGCCGCGCACATCCATAGCTACAAGGGGATGGCTACCGGAATGATGCTGTATGCTCAGAAACGCTGCGGGACCATGTGAATAACTGCAACAAATAGTGGTAAGGACATGCTATGAAGAATCTGGACTTTTCATTTGGATTCATCAGCTTTGTCAAACAGAAATGGGAAGTGGCAAGTCAGCAACCTAGGAAGTTGAAACCATGCATCACAGAAAGCAACTCAATGAAAAGGGAAGACAAAATGAAAAGAACACAAGCAGTTCTATGAGATTTTCTGTAAGGACAAGCAAACAAACAGAAAGCAACTCCATGAAAAGGGAAGACAAAATGAAAAGAACACAAGCAGTTCTGTGAGATTTTTTTTTAAGGACAAGCAGACATAACCGCGCGGCAGCATCTATCTACAGACACAGGTCTTCAGCCTCCCCACGTATGATCAGAGTCTTCCAGCCGTGAAAGCTACTTCTTGCGTCTGTTCCGGGTAGCAGTAGTTGAACGTCTCATGAGAATTGGTGGCAAAGATGGCAAGTTGGCATTGTAGAACGTGATCGCCTCCTGGACCCAGAACTTGTGACTATGAGGACGAAGGCTGTTGAGGAAAAAGTTCATGGGGCGAAGCCAGGCGTTGAATGCTTCGCAAATGCTGGTGCGTACATTCTTCAAACGCTTCTTCTCCTTCCGTGTTCTGGAATTTTTGTGGCATTTGTGGTTCTTCATGTGGAATGTATCCACCAAAAAGAACTCGATGTTGTCAAATGCATTGGAATCATAAGTCGCAACGAATTTTTCGAAGTGACAAGCATCGTCATGAACAAGAAGATCGGCGTGGACATTCGGCATGCTGAGTACGTGCTGGAGTAAGGCGGCTTTGTCCTCATTCCTTTCATTGACGGTATGCTCATAAGCGCCCAGAACTTTGCCTGTCTGGGGGTCTAGAGCAAATTGCCAACCTGCTGTACGATCAGGAAGAACTTGGCGCATAGCATCTTTTGTTTTACAATGGCAAGAACGTTCATGTTCAGGAATCTGCTTCATGGGACGCCCTTTTTTTGGAACTGTGCGAGGCGGTTCAGAGGAATGTAGCATACGATGTACACCAAAATGTCCATCAAAGGCCACTGCTGTGACAGTTGCCGCTGGAGGGAAAAGCAGCAAAGGGCTCTTGATCTTCACAACTTCCATGGCTGGAAAATCGACATTGAAAGGCACGACTTGATTTGGAGTGCGACGAGCTATGGCATACCCTTCTAGAGCATGAAGGAGATGGTCACGAAATGAATGCTGTTGCCAACACATTCCCTCTGCACTACCATGCACGATCAGGCGCACAGCAGCCTCTTGACCAGGAGATGTTTTCGCTCGCAGCAGACGATAGTAGCACAGCTCAAGATAGGGAATGGCAAAGGCGGTCTTGGTGGAAACGAAGTACAAGCCAGAAGCAACCATGTCCTTGAACGACATGCAGTTGATCTTCTGACCTCCCAGCCATACAAAATTGTGTCTCACCTCTCGGCGGCATGTCTTCTTGGCACAGAACTTACTTTGACTGGCAATTTGTGATACTTTTTCGCTGCTAAAGAGAGTGGCCATAGCGGTCTGGCTGCAGTTCTTGTTCTTCTTGAGGTAAAGACGCTTCTGGCAGCAAGGACATGTCTTCAAGTTGGATTTGTAGACTCGAAGTGCTGATGCCCTCTTTGATGTCTCTCTCCCCATTGTGATGACAAAGGTGGCCAGGATTGATGCTGAAATGGCACAAAGCTGCAAGCAAGAGACTTAGTGACAAGAACTGAACTGCAAACATGTGTTTCGGGAAGCTTGAAATAGCGCTAGTATGAAGACACGAAATAGTTATGACAGCTGGAAAACAGCAAACAGATACAATGAGCAACCTACAGTGCAAGACTGAACAAATGTCTGACATGGTTCTGAAGAAAGCCGGTAATGACTCAATTGTAGCATTGCAAGAATACAGTAAATGCAGTGCGAGCTGAGATCATGCAGAAGCAATATCACAACAGACAAAGAATGAAAGAAGGGTGGTTTGCAAAGCTAGCAGCTCGAGCATATTTTTTTTTTGCTTCGGGACCATTCAGATGTTGTATTGCCTCCAGTGGCGGTTGCTGACATATGCTACAAGCTCAAGATCAAAACTTACAACCATGTCTTCAGAGGACAAAATCTACAATCATGTTTTCATTCACTAGGCCAGCTCACTCAGGGTCGGGGAGCGCCTCTTCTACGACATCGTCATCAAGATGTGGATCTGGGAAAGCTTCATACAGAGGTTCACCATCAACTTCTAGGTCAGGAAGATCTTCCTCTATATCTTCGCCATGACCAGGTGGAGGGAAGCCATTGTCATCAAGAACGGTAGCGGGACGTGGTTTTGCTGGAGAAGGGGTATCCAGTTCAATGACAGTGCGCTGCTTTTTCAAAGCACGAAATGTAGAGCGGTCTGGTGATTTCGGTTCTTCTTTGACACGAACAGCAGACGCAAGAGAGACAAGCTGGGCACCGCTTGGAAGTTCTGGAGCTTCTTGACCATCACCTGCATGATTTGCTTGAGCTTTTTGACCATCATCTGCATGATTTTCAACAGAGAGAAGAACACAAGTCCGGCCAGAGCTGGGAAGAACAGGCTTCACTTCTTCTGTGACGAGAGGTCCTCCAAAAGGAGATTGCCGACGAATGACCTGGATGCGTGGGATTTCAGGGTTGTTGCTTTCAATCATGTGCGTCAAGAGGTCGTGGCACCACTGGCGCTTTGTCAACCAATCTGCTGGAGGCTCAGCACAACCCTCCAACATCTTGGCAATGATTGGCTTTCCAGACTCAGCAATGAAATCCCGGATCACAGACCTGTTTTGAGTCTCCGGGTAGCGCACGAGGCGAATTGGAGATTCCCCAGCTCCCGCTGGGCGAACGTAGACGGCCTCGTTCATGTTGACGACGAAATGAGCTCTCTTCCGACAAGCTTGGATATCTTCCTTCTGTGCCTTTTCATGGAAAGCTGGCTTGATGTAGTCAACAAAGACATGGAAGGGAATTGTGTCCTGGCCAATCTTGATGCCTTCCTCAGCTTCGGCATGTACCCTGTTGTCACAGATGATGCGAAGTTGGTTGAGAACAAATTTGGTAGTGGTCCACCTCTCAACTGTGAAGGTTTCAGACAGGGAGCTGTCCAAGAAGGCCTTGATTTTCGGAAGTGGAATGTTGCTCATATCGGAGTCATCCAGAATGTCGGGCCTTTCTCGAAGTCCAGGTTCACCACGTAGGTTTTCGAGGCTGTTGGAAAGACGAAAGCAAGGACGAAGTTCATGCTCCTGATTAGCCCGCAAGATCCAATACTCAGCGAATGCCATTGCAATGGCTTGAGCAGCAGGAGTTTTTCCTGCTCCAGCCTTTCCAAGCATGACGAAAGTCTTGGTTTTCATGTCTGGGAGTAGTGGGAAAACTACGTCTTCTAGAAACCAACTACTGAGGTCATACATAGTCAAGAAGTAGTTGTAGGTGGGCTCGACAAAGATGTTGGAATTGGCGTAGCCGCGGAGACTTTCCTTCACGAGTCCAGCAGTCCATCCAAAAATTGGGCTTTCTTCTCTGTGAATTTCAATTTCTGCCCATTCAGTTTGTCTATTTCCCATGTTGCTTCTAGGGCCATTCTTTTTGATGTGGTCAAAACCTAGTTCTAATGCAGTCTTTGCTTTGGGTGGTTTCCCGGTCTTCTTGGGCACAAACTCAAAGGCCAGAATGGCAAAGTCACCGAGCTTTTCCAAGAGGAATTGAAATCCCAATGCTCCACTTCTGAAATTCTTGCCATAGTCGAGGAGGTAAAGCTCGCCAGACACAGCAGACATCAGCAAACGAGAATCTAATTTTTGTTCAAAGTTGAAATGTCGAAGAACTTGGAATTCCCGAGCATTGATCTTGCGAAAGACCATTTGCATAGTGAAGGGTATGGGGATTTCATTCTTGAGGGCAAGAGGACCAGGAAGTTGCTCATATTTTTTCTGGGCGATGATGGCAACCATGGCATCCAATTCCAGACCATTGACTGGAGTAAACTTCAGAATCTCGATAGCAGCCTTGATCTTGGAGGTGCCTTGCAACTTCTTCTTGGGGATGACGTCGAAGTCATGTTGCGGCTCGGTTGTCACAGACATAACAGATGCCAAGGATGAACATTGCAGCGTGGTAGAGATTTGACACGCCTTGTTGAAGATGTCCGCCATAGCTTCAGGAGTCCAGACACAGAGAGAGCGACGCTAAAAGCCAATAAAGGCAGATGAGCAGGGAATATAGAAAATTAGCTAACCACATGTTGGAAATTAGTAGTTAAATAGATCTGATGATCTTAGATTAACTTGCTTCAGTAGTCCAGACACAGAGAGAGCGGCGCTAAAAGCCAATAAAGGCAGATGACCAGAGAATATAGAAAATTAGCCAACCACATGCCAGAGCTTAAGGAGTCAAGACACAGAGAGAGCGACGCTAAAAGCCAATAAAGGCAGATGACTAGGGAATATAGAAAATTAGCCAACCATATGTTAGAAAGTAGTAGTTAAATAGATCTGATGATCTTAGATTAACTTGCTTCAGGAGTCCAGACACAGAGAGAGCGGCGCTAAAAGCCAATAAAGGCAGATGACCAGAGAATATAGAAAATTAGCCAACCACATGTTAGTACTTAAATGTTAAATAGATCTGATGATCGTAGATTAGCTTGGATTAATCTGGATTAATCTGGGACCAAAAAAACAAAAAAAACAAAAAAACAAAAAAAACAAAAAAAACAATGTTTTGGAGACTAGTCTAAAGATAGCCCTGATCCAAGTAGTCCTGAAAACTGGTCCCAGATTAATCCAGATTAATCCTTGGGGCTTGAACAGATATCAACACACAAGTTATCGGAAGGGAATGTTGTGACACCCAAATCTCACAAGAACACAAGTTATCGGAAGGGAATGTTGTGACACCCAAATCTCACAAGAAGTATTCTTTATACATATTAAGTGTGAGATTTGGGCGGCCACAACAGTCCTTTCTGTTTTTTTTTATATTAAAGCTTTAAAATGCAAGGAATTCCAAATAATTAGATGCCTTATTAAACCCTTATTAAAAAACAGCACCCAAACAATTTTTCAAGGTGGTACCCATGAGTGGCTCAGTTACTCAATAATATAATTGTTTGGATGGTACTCTATTGTGAGCACCAACAACTTTTGGGGTTGAAAAAAAAAATAAAACCTTTCTCCACCTTTCTTTGGTAAAGCTGGTCCCTTTACTTTAGAAAGCCATATTTGTGTTAAAGCTTTAAAATGCAAGGTTTCCCAAATAATTAGATGCCTTATTAAACCCTTATTAAAAACAGCATCCAGACAATTTTTCAAAGGGGTACCCCATGAGTGGCTCAGTTACTCAATAATATAATTGTTTGGATGGTACTCTATTGTGAGCACCAACTTTTGGGAGTGAAAAAAAAAAACAAACCCTTTCTCCACCTTTCTTTGGGTAAAGCTGGTCCTTTACTTTAGAAAGCCATATTTGTGTTAAAGCTTTAAAATGCAAGGTTTTCCAAATAATTAGATGCCTTATTAAACCCTTATTAAAAAACAGCATCCAGACAATTTTTCAAGGTGGTACCTCATGAGTGGCTCAGTTACTCAATAATATGAATGTTTGGATGGTACTCTATTGTGCCCAACAACTTTTGGGGTTGAAAAAAAAACAAAAACCCTTTCTCCACCTTTCTTTGAGTAAAGCTGGTCCATTTACTTTAGAAAGCAATATTTGTGTTAAAGCTTTTAAAATGCAAGGTTTTCCAAATAATTAGATGCCGTATTAAACCCTTATAAAAAAACAGCATCCAGACAATTTTTCAAGGTGGTACCCCATGAGTGGCTGAGTTACTCAATAATATGAATGTTTGGATGGTACTCTATTGTGCCCAACAACTTTGGGGTTGAAAAAAAAACAAAAACCCTTTCTCCACCTTTCTTTGAGTAAAGCTGGTCCATTTACTTTAGAAAGCAATATTTGTGTTAAAGCTTTTAAAATGCAAGGTTTTCCAAATAATTAGATGCCTTATTAAACCCTTATTAAAAAACAGCATCCAGACAATTTTTTACCTCATGAGTGGCTTTACTCAATAATATAATGTTTGGATGGTACTCTATTGTATTAAAAATTAAACCCTTATTAAAAAGCATCCAGACAATTTTTCAAGGTGGTACCCCATGAGTGGCTGAGTTACTCAATAATATGAATGTTTGGAATCTTTGTGCCCAACAATTTTTGGGTGAAAAAAAAACAAAAGTACCCCATGAGTGGCTGAGTTACTCAATAATATGAATGTTTGGATGGTACTCTATTGTGCCCAACAACTTTTGGGGTTGAAAAAAACACAAAAACCCTTTCCCCACCTTTCTTTGAGTAAAGCTGGTCCATTTACTTTAGAAAGCCATATTTGTGTTAAAGCTTGAAGACCCAACCTTTTCCAAATAATTAGATGTCTGAAAAAACCATGAATGGCTGAGTTACTCAATAATATGAATGTTTGGATGGTACTCTATTGTGCCCAACAACTTTTGGGGTTAAAAAAACAAAAAAAACATTTCTCCACCTTTCCTTTAGTAAAGCTGGTCCATTTGTTTTTGAAATAGATATTTGTGTTAAAGCTTTAAAATGCAAGGTTTTCCAAATAATTAGATGCCTTATTAAACCCTTATTAAAAAACAGCACCCAAACAATTTTTCAAGGTGGTACCCCATGAGTGGCTGAGTTACTCAATAATATGAATGTTTGGATGGTACCCTATTGTGCCCAACAACTTTTGTGGTTGAAAAAAATCCAAAATCATTTCCCCACCTTTCTTTGAGTAAAGCTGGTCCATTTACTTTAGAAAGCCATATTTGTGTTAAAGCTTGAAGATCCAACCTTTTCCAAATAATTAGATGTCTGAAAAAACCATGAATGGCTGAGTTACTCAATAATATGAATGTTTGGATGGTACTCTATTGTGCCGAACAACTTTTGGGGTTGAAAAAAAAAAACAAAAACCCTTTCTCCACCTTTCTTTGAGTAAAGCTGGTCCATTTACTTTAGGAAACCATATTTGTGATAAAGCTTTTAAAATGCAAGGTTTTCCAAATAATTAGATGCCTTATTAAACCCTTATTAAAAAACAGCACCCAGACAATTTTTCAAGGTGGTACCCCATGAGTGGCTGAGTTACTCAATAATATGAATGTTTGGATGGTACTCTATTGTGCCCAACAGCTTTTGGGGTTAAACAAAAAACAAAAACCCTTTCTCCACCTTTCTTTGAGTAAAGCTGGTCCATTTACTTTAGAAAGCAATATTTGTGATAAAGTTTTAAAATGCAAGGTTTTCCAAATAATTAGATGCCTAAACCCTTATTAAAAAACAGCATCCCGACAATTTTTCAAGGTGGTACCCCATGAGTGGCTGAGTTACTCAATAATATGAATGTTTGGATGGTACTCTATTGTGCCCAACAACTTTTGGGGTTGAAAAAAATCCAAAACCATTTCTCCACCTTTCTTTGAGTAAAGCTGGTCCATTTACTTTAGAAAGCCATATTTGTGTTAAAGCTTGAAGATCCAACCTTTTCCAAAGAATTAGATGTCTGAAAAAACCATGAATGGCTGAGTTACTCAATAATATGAATGTTTGGATGGTACTCTATTGTGCCCAACAACTTTTGGGGTTAAAAAAACAAAAAAAACATTTCTCCTCCTTTCCTTTAGTAAAGCTGGTCCATTTGTTTTTGAAATAGATATTTGTGTTAAAGCTTTTAAAATGCAAGGTTTTCCAAATAATTAGATGCCTTATTAAACCCTTATTAAAAAACAGCATCCAGACAATTTTTCAAGGTGGTACCCCATGAGTGGCTGAGTTACTCAATAATATGAATGTTTGGATGGTACTCTATTGTGCCCAACAACTTTTGGGGTTGAAAAAAAAACAAAAACCCTTTCTCCACCTTTCTTTGAGTAAAGCTGGTCCATTTACTTTAGAAAGCCATAATTGTGTTAAAGCTTGAAGATCCAACCTGTTCCAAATAATTAGATGTCTGAAAAAACCATGAATGGCTGAGTTACTCAATAATATGAATGTTTGGATGGTACTCTATTGTGCCCAACAACTTTTGGGGTTGAAAAAAAAACAACAAACCCTTTCTCCACCTTTCCTTGAGTAAAGCTGGTCCATTTGTTTTAGAAAGCAATATTTGTGATAAAGCTTTAAAATGCAAGGTTTTCCAAATAATTAGGTGCCTTATTAAACCCTTATTAAAAAACAGCACCCAGACAATTTTTCAAGGTGGTACCCCATGAGTGGCTGAGTTACTCAATAATATGAATGTTTGGATGGTACTCTATTGTGCCCAACAACTTTTGGGGTTGAAAAAAAACAAAAACCCTTGAAAGTAAATTGAAATCAATTGAAAGTAAATTGAAATCAGTTGAAAGTAAATTGAAATCAATTGAAATCAATTGAAAGTAAATTGAAATCAATTGAAAGTAAATTGAAAGTAAATTGAAATCAATTGAAAGTAAATTGAAATCAATTGAAAGTAAATTGAAAGAAAGTAAATTGAAAGTAAATTGAAAGTAAATTGAAATCAATTGAAAGTAAATTGAAATCAATTGAAAGTAAATTGAAATCAATTGAAAGTAAATTGAAAGTAAATTGAAATCAATTGAAAGTAAATTGAAATCAATTGAAAGTAAATTGAAAGTAAATTGAAAGTAAATTGAAATCAATTGAAATCAATTGAAAGTAAATTGAAATCAATTGAAAGTAAATTGCCGTCCATTGCCCTCAATTGCACCTCCCTTGCCCCATCCCTTGCCCGTCCTTGAACGTAACTTGCCCTCCCTGCCCATAACTTGAAAGTCCTTGAAATCATTGAAAGTAAATATGCCATCAATTGCAAATAACTTGAAAGTAAATTGAAATCATTGACAGTACATTGAACTCATTGAAGTAAATTGAAAGCCCTTGAACTCCTTTGCCCCGTCCTTGAACGTCCTGCACGTCCCTTGACACTTCCTTCCTTCCCCGTCCCTTGCAACATCAATTGAAAGTAAATTGATTTCAATTAAAAGTAAATTGAAATCAATTCAAAAAAATTGTTGAGGGTGGGGGGGCGCAAAAAAATGGTCAGTTATTGAGTAGACTAAAATTGTTTGGGGGGGGCCCCCGCACACTAATCAGTCGACAACATTAATGGGTTTTAATGGGTTTTTAATGGTTTTTAATGGGTTTTTAATGGGTTTTAATGGATTTTTAATGGGTTTTAATGGGTTTTAATGGATTTTTAATGGGTTTTAATGGGTTTTTAATGGAATGGAATGGGATTATCATCCACTTAATGGGGGATATACCCTCCGGTAATTTGCTACAGTTTGCGATTGAAGCCATGGAAAGATTGGAAAGTTCGTTGATTTGCGTAAAAATGGTGATGTTCCAGTTCGCAAACTGTTAGTTTACCAGAGGGTACTCAGCCTCCTCCCCTTGCCATTCGCCATCAAAGCTTCATTTCCAGGCAGTTGAACTGGGACGCCACCTTCCGGCAGTTGACCACAGGCGTCATTGCAGGAGACTGTTGGGAAACTTTAAACTTTAAACATATGGTTTATATTCTAAGTGCCAAAACTGCCATACACTTAGAATATATTTAAAACCATGTTTTGTTTAAAAACATATTCTAAGTGCTGGTCCATAATATATCTGTATTTTACCACAATAAAATTTTAAAAAAAAGGACGTTCCTCGAATTGTCCCTTCCAATGCAGGGATAAAAACTGTTCAGGATGATGGTTATACACCTTCCCATGCTTCCCACATCCACTGAAGACAAATACTTAGGTTCTGGAAGATTGGGGCGTAGATCAATCCTTGGAACTGCACTTTTGGAAATGGGTTGACTTCTTGGGGCATTCTCAGATTTTGCACTTGACACACGGAAGTGCTGGAAAAGGAATGCTGCCAATCAGAAGTGAGACAGGTATGAATTTCTTGCTGATGATACAGCATCCCGATGCCTCCAGGTCCTTCCCCTGTTCTGTGGAGACATCCCCGTTTTGCAACTTTGGCCCGTACAAGTACGTCTGAAAATCTTTTGATATAGTGTTTTTGATACACCCCCGCAACATCCTGCAACATGACATGTACAATATTCCATGTTAGACTCTCTCTCTGACCTAGCGAGGGCAAGTAATGTTAGAAACCTATTTATTATATCAATGGGAATTCCAGGATCCTAAAATGCAGGTACTGTACCATATTTTTGGCCATATTTTGTGGGGATATTCCTTGAAATTTAGGCCTGAAAATAGGCCTTATATATGGTTGGTACCTCCAATTTAGGATCCTGGAATGGCCATTGATTATACATTACTTTTGGATTACTTTTGGACTATAACTTTAGGGATTTCCCGAGCCTGCTTGAACTTCCCCTCCGGAATATGTCCAAACTCCAATGGTTGGTTTTTTGGATTCTATAGTTTCCCTATCGTTGGAATATAATCACGATATTATCCCATATCATAGTTGGAATAACTATTCTAAGGAAGCTGTTATACGTATTATAATTTAGGTGGATCCAGTAATAGTATATAATATTATAGTTGGAATAACTATTTTAGGGAAACTGTTATACGTATAATTTAGGTGGGCCCAGTAATAGTATACAATAGTTCATTATTGCATAATGATCATGAGAATCCACCATTCCCTATAACACATCTTAGAGTTTCATAGTTTTCCCTCACCAATCCCATGGTGTTCTCATTGTTCATCATGAAACTGGTCAATTTTGAGAGCACTGTCGAGGTCCGTTTTTTTTCCTCCCCAGAGCATGGCGGAGTCAACGACACGAGGCACGTCCCGCGGCACACCGCGTTGCTCACTGCACCTGGACCGGGGGTGGCAGCTGGTTAGGGAGCCTCAACTGCCCACATGGATTTGTCTGAAAATCGGGCATCCCATAATTCCTACGGTTTGAACGGAAAATCTACCGGAAACACCAGGTGATCAAAACAGCGCGCTCCTGCAGATTTTCCCTTAAACCAATCCACTAAAAATTACTTTACTTCGTGTGATCCCCACCATGACATTTATACATTTTCTTACTGGCAAATCTTCTGGCATTCTATCTGGCATATCTTCTGACATTCTATTTGACATTCTATCTGGCATATCTTCTGGCATATGATCTGGCATATCTTCTGGCATTCTATCTGGCAAATCTTCTGGCATTCTATCTGGCATATCTTCTGGCACTCTATCTGACATATCTTCTGGCATTCTATCTGACATATCTTCTGGCATATCTTCTGGCATTCTATCTGGCAAATCTTCTGGCATTCTATCTGGCATATCTTCTGGCATATTATCGGGCATTCTATCTGGCATATCTTCTGGCATATATTCTGACATATCTTCTGGCATTCTATCTGGCATTCTATTTGGCATTCTATCTGGCATATCTTCTGGCATATCTTCTGACATTCTTTCTGACATTCTTTCTAACTTTCTTCTGCACATTCTTTGTCCCATATCTTCCTACATGAGGTCCGGCAGGGAACACTTGGCATGGATACTCGCGGTTTTTAATGTTGGCACCTGATTAGTAGCATGGTACTCTATTGTGGGAAAAAGTTTCCTCCTTATTCAGTAACCTGCTGTTTGGTGGGGGGGGCCTGTATTGTGGCAAATGTTTTTCCAGATTTTTTTTTGTTTAAAAAAAATGTTCCTAATTAGTTAATTATTTTTTGAATTTATTTTTAAATTAGTTAATTAAATACTTAAAAAATGTTTTTATGTTTTTCATTTTTTTTGGGAGGGGACTGTTGTGGCCGCCTCTTTTTTAACTATTGTTGTCAAGTTTTTAATTAACCATGAACTATTTCACTGGGAAACCTACACATTTTGAAGAGTTGGTTATGGAGCCCGGCGGAGCGCAAGACAGATTTTTTTTCATGCCAAGAGCAATGCGCGATGGAAGACGAAGTCAGCATACACAACGGAGCATTCAAGTGCAGCTTCATTTCAAGGCCTGTGCTAGTGAATCTTGGATTTGCAACAGGGCATCTGCACAATCTGGGCAACTGTCACTAACAATGTCATGGATCTCCTGGAGAGCAGACACTGAGCGCTGAATCGTTGCACGAAGTCTGGTAGCCGATGACGAAGAGGAAGATGTTGACGACGCATCGCTTGAATCAGCGCCATTGGAACTATGGTGATCCTCCGCAGCTTCAACCTCACCGGTAGGAGACTCAACAGCAGGCTTGGCATCGTCCAAGACATCAGCTTCAACCTCACCGGTAGGAGACTCAACAGCAGGCTTGTCATCGTCCAAGACATTGGCACCATGGTTGTCCACATAGGAATCCTCACAAATGATGGCTGTAGGGTTGTCATCGTCCAAGGCATTGGTAGCATGGTTCTCCACAGAAGAATTCTCAGGCTTGACATTTTCCAAGGCAAGGGGTGTAGAAGAAGAAGGATCTTCCAAGGCAAGGCGCCTGGAAGAAGAAGCATCTTCCAAGGCACTAGGACTAGGCGAAGGTGTGTCGGTGCGATTCTTCTTCCTTTCTGCACGCAAGAACCATGACTTGAGCCTTTCATCTGCTTCATTGCTCCACTGTCCTTCTGCCCCAATCAACAGCCGCAATCCACGCTGAATGTTACAAATCTGCATTTGGATGCGGCGAACAGTGATTTGGGCTTTGGAAGGATGAACCAACAACTTTCCGTCAGCAATCTCTTGGACTAAAGCATCTGGATGCGGAGGAGTGGTAGAAGGTTGTGGGGCAACACCTGGTTCAAGCTCCAAGACAATCTTGCGCCCATCTTTGAGAATTGCTTTGCCGCGCACATCCATAGCTACAAGGGGATGGCTACCGGAATGATGCTGTATGCTCAGAAACGCTGCGGGACCATGTGAATAACTGCAACAAATAGTGGTAAGGACATGCTATGAAGAATCTGGACTTTTCATTTGGATTCATCAGCTTTGTCAAACAGAAATGGGAAGTGGCAAGTCAGCAACCTAGGAAGTTGAAACCATGCATCACAGAAAGCAACTCAATGAAAAGGGAAGACAAAATGAAAAGAACACAAGCAGTTCTATGAGATTTTCTGTAAGGACAAGCAAACAAACAGAAAGCAACTCAATGAAAAGGGAAGACAAAATGAAAAGAACACAAGCAGTTCTGTGAGATTTTTTTTAAAGGACAAGCAGACAAAACTGCGCGGCAGCATCTATCTACAGACACAGGTCTTCAGCCTCCCCACGTATGATCAGAGTCTTCCAGCCGTGAAAGCTACTTCTTGCGTCTGTTCCGGGTAGCAGTAGTTGAACGTCTCATGAGAATTGGTGGCAAAGATGGCAAGTTGGCATTGTAGAACGTGATCGCCTCCTGGACCCAGAACTTGTGACTATGAGGACGAAGGCTGTTGAGGAAAAAGTTCATGGGGCGAAGCCAGGCGTTGAATGCTTCGCAAATGCTGGTGCGTACATTCTTCAAACGCTTCTTCTCCTTCCGTGTTCTGGAATTTTTGTGGCATTTGTGGTTCTTCATGTGGAATGTATCCACCAAAAAGAACTCGATGTTGTCAAATGCATTGGAATCATAAGTCGCAACGAATTTTTCGAAGTGACAAGCATCGTCATGAACAAGAAGATCGGCGTGGACATTCGGCATGCTGAGTACGTGCTGGAGTAAGGCGGCTTTGTCCTCATTCCTTTCATTGACGGTATGCTCATAAGCGCCCAGAACTTTGCCTGTCTGGGGGTCTAGAGCAAATTGCCAACCTGCTGTACGATCAGGAAGAACTTGGCGCATAGCATCTTTTGTTTTACAATGGCAAGAACGTTCATGTTCAGGAATCTGCTTCATGGGACGCCCTTTTTTTGGAACTGTGCGAGGCGGTTCAGAGGAATGTAGCATACGATGTACACCAAAATGTCCATCAAAGGCCACTGCTGTGACAGTTGCCGCTGGAGGGAAAAGCAGCAAAGGGCTCTTGATCTTCACAACTTCCATGGCTGGAAAATCGACATTGAAAGGCACGACTTGGTTTGGAGTGCGACGAGCTATGGCATACCCTTCTAGAGCATGAAGGAGATGGTCACGAAATGAATGCTGTTGCCAAAACATTCCCTCTGCACTACCATGCACGATCAGGCGCACAGCAGCCTCTTGACCAGGAGATGTTTTTGCTCGCAGCAGACGATAGTAGCACAGCTCAAGATAGGGAATGGCAAAGGCGGTCTTGGTGGAAACGAAGTACAAGCCAGAAGCAACCATGTCCTTGAACGACATGCAGTTGATCTTCTGACCTCCCAGCCATACAAAATTGTGTCTCACCTCTCGGCGGCATGTCTTCTTGGCACAGAACTTACTTTGACTGGCAATTTGTGATACTTTTTCGCTGCTAAAGAGAGTGGCCATAGCGGTCTGGCTGCAGTTCTTGTTCTTCTTGAGGTAAAGACGCTTCTGGCAGCAAGGACATGTCTTCAAGTTGGATTTGTAGACTCGAAGTGTTGATGCCCTCTTTGATGTCTCTCTCCCCATTGTGATGACAAAGGTGGCCAGGATTGATGCTGAAATGGCACAAAGCTGCAAGCAAGAGACTTAGTGACAAGAACTGAACTGCAAACATGTGTTTCGGGAAGCTTGAAATAGCGCTAGTATGAAGACACGAAATAGTTATGACAGCTGGAAAACAGCAAACAGATACAATGAGCAACCTACAGTGCAAAACTGAACAAATGTCTGACATGGTTCTGAAGAAAGCCGGTAATGACTCAATTGTAGCATTGCAAGAATACAGTAAATGCAGTGCGAGCTGAGATCATGCAGAAGCAATATCACAACAGACAAAGAATGAAAGAAGGGTGGTTTGCAAAGCTAGCAGCTCGAGCATATTTTTTTTTTTTGCTTCGGGACCATTCAGATGTTGTATTGCCTCCAGTGGCGGTTGCTGACATATGCTACAAGCTCAAGATCAAAACTTACAACCATGTCTTCAGAGGACAAAATCTACAATCATGTTTTCATTCACTAGGCCAGCTCACTCAGGGTCGGGGAGCGCCTCTTCTACGACATCGTCATCAAGATGTGGATCTGGGAAAGCTTCATACAGAGGTTCACCATCAACTTCTAGGTCAGGAAGATCTTCCTCTATATCTTCGCCATGACCAGGTGGAGGGAAGCCATTGTCATCAAGAACGGTAGCGGGACGTGGTTTTGCTGGAGAAGGGGTATCCAGTTCAATGACAGTGCGCTGCTTTTTCAAAGCACGAAATGTAGAGCGGTCTGGTGATTTCGGTTCTTCTTTGACACGAACAGCAGACGCAAGAGAGACAAGCTGGGCACCGCTTGGAAGTTCTGGAGCTTCTTGACCATCACCTGCATGATTTGCTTGAGCTTTTTGACCATCATCTGCATGATTTTCAACAGAGAGAAGAACACAAGTCCGGCCAGAGCTGGGAAGAACAGGCTTCACTTCTTCTGTGACGAGAGGTCCTCCAAAAGGAGATTGCCGACGAATGACCTGGATGCGTGGGATTTCAGGGTTGTTGCTTTCAATCATGTGCGTCAAGAGGTCGTGGCACCACTGGCGCTTTGTCAACCAATCTGCTGGAGGCTCAGCACAACCCTCCAACATCTTGGCAATGATTGGCTTTCCAGACTCAGCAATGAAATCCCGGATCACAGACCTGTTTTGAGTCTCCGGGTAGCGCACGAGGCGAATTGGAGATTCCCCAGCTCCCGCTGGGCGAACGTAGACGGCCTCGTTCATGTTGACGACGAAATGAGCTCTCTTCCGACAAGCTTGGATATCTTCCTTCTGTGCCTTTTCATGGAAAGCTGGCTTGATGTAGTCAACAAAGACATGGAAGGGAATTGTGTCCTGGCCAATCTTGATGCCTTCCTCAGCTTCGGCATGTACCCTGTTGTCACAGATGATGCGAAGTTGGTTGAGAACAAATTTGGTAGTGGTCCACCTCTCAACTGTGAAGGTTTCAGACAGGGAGCTGTCCAAGAAGGCCTTGATTTTCGGAAGTGGAATGTTGCTCATATCGGAGTCATCCAGAATGTCGGGCCTTTCTCGAAGTCCAGGTTCACCACGTAGGTTTTCGAGGCTGTTGGAAAGACGAAAGCAAGGACGAAGTTCATGCTCCTGATTAGCCCGCAAGATCCAATACTCAGCGAATGCCATTGCAATGGCTTGAGCAGCAGGAGTTTTTCCTGCTCCAGCCTTTCCAAGCATGACGAAAGTCTTGGTTTTCATGTCTGGGAGTAGTGGGAAAACTACGTCTTCTAGAAACCAACTACTGAGGTCATACATAGTCAAGAAGTAGTTGTAGGTGGGCTCGACAAAGATGTTGGAATTGGCGTAGCCGCGGAGACTTTCCTTCACGAGTCCAGCAGTCCATCCAAAAATTGGGCTTTCTTCTCTGTGAATTTCAATTTCTGCCCATTCAGTTTGTCTATTTCCCATGTTGCTTCTAGGGCCATTCTTTTTGATGTGGTCAAAACCTAGTTCTAATGCAGTCTTTGCTTTGGGTGGTTTCCCGGTCTTCTTGGGCACAAACTCAAAGGCCAGAATGGCAAAGTCACCGAGCTTTTCCAAGAGGAATTGAAATCCCAATGCTCCACTTCTGAAATTCTTGCCATAGTCGAGGAGGTAAAGCTCGCCAGACACAGCAGACATCAGCAAACGAGAATCTAATTTTTGTTCAAAGTTGAAATGTCGAAGAACTTGGAATTCCCGAGCATTGATCTTGCGAAAGACCATTTGCATAGTGAAGGGTATGGGGATTTCATTCTTGAGGGCAAGAGGACCAGGAAGTTGCTCATATTTTTTCTGGGCGATGATGGCAACCATGGCATCCAATTCCAGACCATTGACTGGAGTAAACTTCAGAATCTCGATAGCAGCCTTGATCTTGGAGGTGCCTTGCAACTTCTTCTTGGGGATGACGTCGAAGTCATGTTGCGGCTCGGTTGTCACAGACATAACAGATGCCAAGGATGAACATTGCAGCGTGGTAGAGATTTGACACGCCTTGTTGAAGATGTCCGCCATAGCTTCAGGAGTCCAGACACAGAGAGAGCGACGCTAAAAGCCAATAAAGGCAGATGAGCAGGGAATATAGAAAATTAGCTAACCACATGTTGGAAATTAGTAGTTAAATAGATCTGATGATCTTAGATTAACTTGCTTCAGTAGTCCAGACACAGAGAGAGCGGCGCTAAAAGCCAATAAAGGCAGATGACCAGAGAATATAGAAAATTAGCCAACCACATGCCATAGCTTCAGGAGTCCAGACACAGAGAGAGCGACGCTAAAAGCCAATAAAGGCAGATGACTAGGGAATATCGAAAATTAGCCAACCATATGTTAGAAAGTAGTAGTTAAATAGATCTGATGATCTTAGATTAACTTGCTTCAGGAGTCCAGACACAGAGAGAGCGGCGCTAAAAGCCAATAAAGGCAGATGACCAGAGAATATAGAAAATTAGCCAACCACATGTTAGTACTTAAATGTTAAATAGATCTGATGATCGTAGATTAGCTTGGATTAATCTGGATTAATCTGGGACCAAAAAAAACAAAAAAAACAAAAAAACAAAAAAAACAAAAAAACAAAAAAAAACAAAAAAACAAAAAAAAACAATGTTTTGGAGACTAGTCTAAAGATAGCCCTGATCCAAGTAGTCCTGAAAACATTGTTTTTTTTTGTTTTTTTTGTTTTTTTTTTGTTTTTTTGTTTTTTTTGGTCCCAGATTAATCCAGATTAATCCTTGGGGTTTGAACAGATATCAACACACAAGTTATCGGAAGGGAATGTTGTGACACCCAAATCTCACAAGAACACAAGTTATCGGAAGGGAATGTTGTGACACCCAAATCTCACAAGAAGTATTCTTTATACATATTAAGTGTGAGATTTGGGCGGCCACAACAGTCCTTTCTGATCAATTTAAGCAACCAATTGGTTACCTCATAGGGAAAATAATAAGGTACCTATAATACAATTCAATTCCATCATCATATATTAAATATTTGGAAAGACCCAAAAATCCATTTGCAGAGAACCCAGATCAATTGCAAAACATAGATGATATAATATATTCTATATTTTATCGAAGTACCCAACCCAAAAAAAAACTATTTGAACTACGATCGAATGGTGATCGTTTGTTCTGACTGGCACTTCCACGAATAGAAGGGTAAATGGATGGAGACACTAATTCTCAATCCCCATCTTGGCATGATTACCGAATGGCGGATAAGAATTAACAATATATTGAAACATCCAAGGGACACTAACCCAAGACGATCTTTCCTTTGGGATCATTTTCACCAGTATATACCAAGACCACCTACCTTAATAGATAAGATA